ATGAGAGAGAACCAAACAAACTGTCCAGTTTCTCTTCAACATACCCCTCTGCCTCTCTATTGTTCCCCCAGGTGTATGGGTGACCTACCATGTTGATTTCAAGCATTCTCATCCTGCTAATGAAGTCTCTGAATTGAGAAAACGAGCTGGGGGACCTTATCCTACCTCCTTTCTTCTCCTCAGCCATCAAAAGATCATTTATGTCCCCTCCTAGAAACCAGTGTTGCCCCAATTTCTGCTTGGCCTCTTCAAGGTAAGCCTATTGGGTTAATCTGCTCTGTTTGTCTTTGCTTGCATAGATAATATTCCCCAGCGGATGCAAGACTTTTTCTCATCCCAAAATTCAACTTCCATACAGAAAGGATGCTTAACTATGTTGAACACCTGGATATCAGAACCCCAACAGAGAAATAAGCCCCCACTCTTGCCCACTGGCTCAACTGAGGACCAACGATCACCAACAGCTAAGTTATTACAAACAGTAAGAAGGAATTTGTTTTTTTTCTTAGTTTCTGAAAGAAAAAGAAAATCTGGGTGATGGAGCCTCCAAGTCTCATTGATTTGGGAAACTGTAGAGGGGCCACCCGCACCTCTACAGTTCCACACCGCTACCTTCATTGATCACTGTGTGGCCCTGGAAGACTGGCCACATTCACCTATTCTTGGACTGATTTCAGTTTTTTGCTCTGGTTGGAGAGTTGGGAGTCTTGGAGGTCAACTGGATTATCTGTTAAAGAGATGGCTTGAATGTTCCTTTTCCCTCTAGCAGACTTTTTAGGATTAGGGGGAGTAGAGTTGGCTGGAGTATGTTTTCTTCTCCACCCTCTTGGTTTTTGAGGATGAGGGGCAGTGGTTGATTGGCTTAAAGTAGATGTGTTTGGCTGGTTTGGGTCAGTGAGGGGAGGTGGGGATTGAAGGATGGTCTTTTTGAGTTGGGGTATTTCAGTTATTTCAGTTTCCATTGGTTGGTTGGGAGGTTGGGACTTTGGGTTTTGGAGATTCAATATCAATGGTTGTGGGCTGACTATGGGAATAGATGGAGGTACTTGGTGTAAGCTGGATGGTGTCTGAATTTCTGGTTGGGAGTGTTTTGAATTGGACTGGATGTTATTCTTCATTGAGTCAACAAGAGATTTAGGGAGGTTGTTACTACCTGAAGTGGTATTCTGGCTCATCTGGGTAGAGAAGAATTGATCAGAAGCTTTCAGCCAATCTTCATACCTTCCTTCTTGGAGCTTGCTGTTAGCAATATCCTCTGATCTGGTCTGGCAGTTCTTGTCTATGTGACCCAGCATCCCACAGTAGAAGCAAAGGCTCACCAACTTCTCATATTTGAACTGGACTAAGATTTTCTTGCTTCCCAGTTGAATTGTAGCGCACCTGATAATCGGCTGGTGTATATCCAAGGAGATGAGAAGTTTGATACATTTCCCTGCTAAAATTCCTCCTTGCGGCTTTTGGACATCCTTAGTTCTCTTGAATGCGATGCCAATTTTAAGCCCAACCTCCGAGGAAATCCAATTAAGGGGGATGTTCCAAGCTTGAACCCATATGTCTAGCTCTTGAAAGTCCGGGTGGTCTGGAGATAAATCTTCCCTCCAATCCCTAAGGATTAGGAATTGGCTCTCGAAGGTCCAACATTTTCCGTTGCGAACTTTTTCCTTATCCTCTCTATTGGCAAATATAAATTGAAAATAATTGGAACTGATCTCGCGGACTGTAACTAGAGCTCTGATTAGCCACATTTGATTTACCTCTCTGCGCAACCCTAAAATGTCGGCTTTTTTCTGCCCAATAATTTTCCCTAAGAGACTTCTCTCACAATCATTCGCGCTTCAGTGAATGTCATCGTTAGCAATGCCTATGACCTTTGCTTCATTATCGGACAACTGAAAGGCACCGAGTTTGTTGGCTATGTCCTCTTCCATTAACTCCTAACTCAAGACACCCTGTTGGAAGAGTCTGAAATCTGAAACCAACAAGAAGAGACAAGCACAAAGAGGAGTAACAGAGAAGAGGGGAAGGCTAAATGAAGAGCCCTGATAAATGCAAACAAGAAAACGATAATAGACTTAAGCCATGAAAAGAGATCAGAATAAGAAAGGATAAACCTGGTTATAATAGATTAACCCCAAATCAATGAGGATTCAGAATCATATAGCTGATTTTCTCTTCACTCAAGAGGATTTGTTTCTGTTAGAAAATCCCATTTGTCATTTATGCATTTTATTTTATTAGCACGTTCTTTCGATTTCAAATGTTTAATCAAAGAGTAATGCTACATTGCCAACTTAGTGTACAACTAGGTTGACAACACAAGTAAAAACATCTACTTGTGTAATTTTTTATTTTTATTTTTTTTGAATGTTTTCACTTGTATTGTCTACCTAGTTGTACACTAGGTTTTTTTTTTCATTAAATAAACATCCCAGATTGGGATGGGGGGTTGAGGCTACACCCCCGA